TAAAATAGCACAGTAACATATAATTACAAATTATAATTACTTTTCTAAAGGAAAGTAGAGGGTGTTATTGAATGGTAGAAGGGCAACCACACAGCTCTGAGATGAGAGAAGAACCCTTTTTGGGAATCTTCATTAAGTCTTTATCTTCCTCTGGTTCTCCCATAAGCAGGTCCTGAGACATGATTTTGGGTGCAGGTAGTTTATTTGGGAGGGTGAGGCAGGAAATGAGAAAGGAAGCAGGAAGAGTGAGACAAAGAGGGAGGGAATGTTATTAACATTGATGCGTTATCAAGCGGGCCACCCCTGTGGAGGGTGGGATCTCAATCTGGCTGGGGATCCCCGAGGGCACCGTGTGGAGTGCACCTCAGAATTGCCTGCCTTCAGTAGAAAGGCTGGACATTTTTCCATCTGATCTCCATCTGCCAATGACTGCCTGTTGCTCCCCCCACCCCAGGTTCCTCTGGCTGAGTAAGTCCCACAGCTTCAGAGAAAGCCGTGAGGCTGAACTGAAGGGCTTAAGGTGCCCGCAGGTGAGTGCAAGGGTCTCTACAGCAGAACCAGCATGAAATCAGAAGGCCACTTCCACCAGAGCCCTGGAGAAGGAATGGGATTCAGGCAAGAAGAGAGTGGGGCAGGGGAAGGAGTTCAGGTAGAAGAAAGAGCAGGTAGAAGACCCAGGGGAGTAACAGTCAGAGAACCAGAACATGGTGAGCGAGAGAGAGAATAGCATGAATGCATCCGGAGAGCAAGTGAGGGGTGTTCAAAGGACATTTTAAGGACTCTGAGTTGAATCTTATATACAGTGAATTTTTTTTTTTTTTTTCCGGTACGTGGGCCTCTCACTGTTGTGGCCTCTCCTGTTGCGGAGCACAGGCTCCGGACGCGCAGGCTCAGTGGCCATGGCTCACGGGCCTAGCCGCTCCGCGGCATGTGGGATCTTCCCGGACCGGGACACGATCCTGTGTCCCCTGCATCGGCAGGCGGACTCTCAACCACTGCGCCACCAGGGAAGCCCTATACAGTGAAATTTGACATAGGATTTTTAGCAGGGAAATAAGATGTTCTGCATAGACAATCAGGTCATTTGTGGACAAAGACAATTGTATTTCTCCCTTCCCAATTTATATACCTTTTATTTCCTTTTCATATCTTACTGCATTAGCTGGGACTTCCAGTACAATGTTGAAAAGTGGTGAGAGGGGCATCCTTGCCTTGTCCCTGATGGTGGCGGGGTGGCATCTAGTTTCTCACCATTAAGTATGATGTTAGCTATAGGTTTTCTGCAGATGTTCTTTATCAAGTTGAATAAGTTCCCTTCTCTTCCTAGTTTGATGAGAGTTTTATCATGAATTTTGGATTTTATTGGATTTTGTCAAATGTTTTTTCTGCATCTATTGATATGATCATGTGATTTTTCTTCTTTAGCTTGTCAATATGGTGGATTACAGTCATTGATTTTTCAATGGCAACGAGATTTTTTAAAGGTCATTTTGGCTGCTATGAGGAGAAGAGATGGAGGTGGGGATGGGAGTGAGGGAACAAGAGTGGAATTGGGGAGATCGATTTAGAAATGCGTGGATAAACCGTAATGAGAGATGATGAAGACATGAACGAGACAGTGGAAGTAAGAAATGATGCAGGTAGAATACACTTGCTGTGATTTCTTCAATGGGTCATGGGGGAAGAGAGGGGGGAAAGGATGCCAATGAATCCCAGGTCTCTGCAGCTGGGTAGATGGTGCTTCTGGGAGACCACTGAGTGGATACCGACAAGTGTGCGCTGGACCCTGTGACATGAGGTCCTGTGACTTCAGCAAGAGCAGTTACAGTGGAGGAGGATGGAGACACATACGGGCAACAGAGTCAACCGAAGATGACAAAGTGGAGACTGACTTTGTCGTCAACTCTTTCAAGAAGTTTGAGTGTAAAATAGATGAAAGGAACAGGGCTGCAGGAAAAGAGATGGTTTCTGGGAAGATCTCGTTGTAAGGTTAGAAAGTCCAGAGCCGCTTGAACACTGCTGGGAAGCTGAAGTAGAGAACGAGGTCAAGTGTGAACTAATCAAGGATACCATTCCGTGTGCACTCCCTCTCTCCTGCACCATCTATTGTTAAATAGACTTGATTTTTTAGAGCAGTTTTAGGTTCACAGGAAAATTGAGGAGAAGGTGCAGAGATTTCCTATATGCCCTCTGCCCCTACCCATGCACAGCCCCCGCCCCATTATCAACATCCAAACTAGATGGTCCATGTATTACAACTAATGAACCTATGTTGACGTGTCACTATCACCCAGAGTCCATAGTTTACCTTGGGTTCATTCTTGGGGTTGTATATTCTATGGGTTAGGATAAATGAATAATGACATGTTTCCACCATTATAACATCATACAGAGTAGTTTCACTGCCCTAAAAATCCTCTGTGCTTCATCCCTCCCATCCCAACCCCTGGCAACCAATGATCTTTTTACTGTCTCCATAGTTTTGCCTTTCCCAGAATGTCATAGAGTTGGAATTATATACAGTATGTAGACTTTTAAGATTGGCTTCTTTTGCTTAGTGATATGCATTTAAGTTTTCTCCATGTCTTTTCATGGCTTTTGATAGCTCATTTCTTTTTAGCTTTATAATATCCCATTGTCTGGAGGCACCACAGTTTTCTTATCCATTCACCTGCTGAAGGACATCTTGGGTGCTTCCAGGTTTTGGCAATTATAAAGCTGCTATAAATATCTGTGTGCAGGATATTGTGTGCACATAAGTTTCCATCTCATTTGGGCAAATACCGGGGAATGAGATTGATGGATCATAGGGTAAGACACCACCAAACTGTCTTCCACAGTGGCTGTGCCCACCAGCAATGATGAGAGCTCTTGTTGCTCCACATCCTTGTCAGCACTTTATGTTGTCATATGCTTATTTTCCATCTATCTGTCTTTGGTGAGGTGTCTGTTAAGGTCTTTGACCCATTTTTTAATTGTGTCATTTGTGTTCCATTACTCATTTTCAGTCTCAACTTGATCAGATCCTTCAGCACATAAATTTGGTGTGTGTGGCATGTGTATTTTCTAAACAACCCTCTTTTGATTATATGTGTGTATGTGTGGTGTGTGTGTGTTCTGTCTTTAGGGACCCTACAGCTGCTACCCCATCTTGGGTCCAGTAGAGAGAGATCTGAGCCCAATATCTTCCATTTCTCTCCTGCAATTCCCTCTACCGAATTCCCATCAAGCTTTTGCCTCTACCACTTCAACGAAATTACTGTAATCAAGGTCACTGAGAACCTGTGCTTGATGAATACAATTGTCTGTGATGGGTCCTCAACATCATTTCAGACCAGCGATGACATGACTTGGCTTCAGGACAGCTCACTGTCCTCCCAGACCCCCTGCCCTTTCCCTCCTCATCTCCCCACCTTCTAGAAGTTAGACCCCTCAGAGCTGTCCTTGGACCACTTCTCTATCTACACTCCCTCTTAGAGCTTTAAATGCACCTACATGCAGACAAACAGCTGTATATCAAATGCAGCTGTCTATCTCCATCCTCATCCTTTCTCCTGAATCCTAAAATCCTATTCAGCTGCCTAATTAATGCCCACATTTACACGTCTAAGGAGCACCTCAAACCTAACATGCCTGGCACTGCACACCACCCAACAATGACCGCCCCCTCTCCACCCCCCAGGGAGTTTTCTCATCTCCTTGGGACCACTCCAGCCTCCCAGTTTCCAAACCAAAACCTGGAGCCGTGCCACACTTCTCTCCTGCCAAAGCCACTCTTGGTCAATCAGAAAACCTCTTTTGCTCTGTCTTCACATATATATGCAAATCCAACCACCTCTTCCCACAGGCTCATCCACCACTACCCTGGTGTTAGCCACCAGGGTCCTTCTCACAGGGATGGACTCGAGCTGGCCTCCTGCTTCCCCCACCAAATCTGATCTCAGCTCAGCGGCTCAAACCACTCCTTCAAGATGGGCTTCAGATAATTTCACTCCTCTGCTCAAAACCAGCCGTATCCTCCACCTGACTGCCTGGGAAACGTAAGGCTGATCCTCGCGTCTTCGCAAACTTGCCCAGCACCACCTGCTTTCCTGTCTGTCGGCGGCTGTCACTGTCCCTGCTCGCTGTGCTCCTGTCGCACGGGCCCTGTGCTGCTCCAGGCCTGGACGGTCCCTTCTGCTTTGAGTGCTCTTTGCCTGGACATCACCGAGCCTTGCTCCCTCTGCCTCAAGCCTGGTTCAATTACCTTCCAGGAGGCCTTCCTGACCCCCCGCCTCCCCACTCCGAAACCCCTTCCCGGAGGGAGGACAGTGACGTGCTCTCTGTCTCACGAGGACTTGTCTGTTTGTCAGCCCGTCAGGAGGTGCCCCGGCTTCCATAGCAGGGCCCGGCACAGACAGGCTCTCAGGAAATAAGTTCTCCAAGAAACGGATTCAAGGAAGAAGGGTAAACAATAAACCAAGGTCCCAGAGAAGGTGAAATGGTTGGAGGGGAGCACAGGGAAGAAATCCACCTGCCGCAGTCGCAACAGCGGGCAGAAGGGGTCAGTGCCACAGGGGTCAGGGGGCGGCGGTCTTCCTGGTCAGTCCCCGGGCTCCCCTCTTCCCAGTTTCCTCTCTGCTCTGAGTCCCAGCTTCTGCGGTACGATAGGACCCTGGCCCGATGGGCGCTCAGCAGATCCCTCCCACTGCTCGCATCCCTGTGCAGCGCTGGGACCCAGGGTGACACTGTGGGCGGTCACCCAGGAACACAATCCCGCCCCGCGCTGACCGCCTCCTAGCGACCGCCTAACCCCTGACTCCCCTCCTGCTGACCCACTAACCACCTCTCGCTGACCCACCCACCCGCTTCCAGTGACGGTCTTGTGATGACCCCCTAACCCCTGAGCCCCTCCCGCTGACCCCGCCCCATGACCCCTCCGCAGCCCGGGTCGGCTCACCCGGGTCACACCCTTTCCTCTGAGCATGCTCGGAGTACTAACGCCCACGGGCCGTGCCCACAGCGCGCGTTAGAGCCAATCTGCAGCCGGTGTGCGGCTGATTGGCGTTCAGCGGCAGAGACCGCGGATCCTGATTGGGCAGGCCTGCTGTTGTGGACGGGCCTACAAGGACGGAGTCCGGAAGTGCAGTCGCGCTGCTCGGGCCTGGGCTGGGGTCGCAGGGGTCGCCGGGGCGGCGAGGCCGGCATGGCGGCGCTGCGGAGGCACGGTAGGCGGGGATCGGGGTCTGTGGGGACCGGAAGCTTTGGGGGACGGGGACTCTAGGCCCTCGGGACTGTGGGGACCCGGGACTGTGGGGACTGTGGGAACCTGGGGCTGTGGGGACGGAGGCTGTCAGGACGGGAACTGTGAGGACCCGGGGCTGCGAGGACGAGGACTGTGAGGACCCGGGGCCGCGAGGACGGAGATTGTGAGGACCCGGGGCCGCGAGGACGGAGATTGTGAGGACCCGGGGCCGCGAGGACGGCGATTTTGAGGACCCGGGGCCGTGAGGACGGCGACTGTGAGGACCCGGGGCTGCGAGGTCGGGGACTGTGAGGACCCGGGGCTGCGAGGACGGGGACTGTGAGGACCCGGGACCGCGAGGACGGGGACTGTGAGGACCTGGGGCTGCGAGGAAGGGGGCTGTGAGGACCCGGGATTGTAAGGGGCTCCTCCCAAAGCCCAGATTCTGACTCTCAAACCATTTACCTGCAGGGATTCTGAGTTTCTGGGCACGTAACTAGTGTTATTAAGCTATGGTAGTATTTTTCGCCAACACCAAAGGCAGGATGGATACATTTAATTGGTTAACCTGGCACATGCCTTAGAACGAATGTCAGAGATACAGGGAACTCCAGACACCTCATGGAAAGCCCAGCAAACTTCTCATTACCCTATAATCATTAATATTAAAAAAGGGAAGATTCTATTTTTCCCAGTTTTGTTCAGATATGATTGATATATAGCACTGTGTGGGTTTAAGGTGTGTATACAGCACAGTGACTTGACGGGCTATGTACTGCAAAACCACCACCCAATAAGTTAACATCCATCACCTCATACAGTTACACAATTTCTTTTCCTTGTGATGAGAACTTTTAGGACCTACTGTCTCTCTCAGCAACTTTCAAATTCGCCATACAGCAGTGTTAACTATAGTCACCATGCTGTACAACTACATCCCAAGACTTAACTTATCTTATAACTAGAAGTCTGTACCTTTTGACCATCTTTACCCATTTCTCCCATCCCCCAATCACCTCTGGCAGCCATCAGTCTGTTCTCTGTATCTGTGAGCTCCTTGGTTTTTTTTTTAGATTCCACAAATAAGTGAGATCTTACAGTATTTGTCTTTCTTTGACTTATTTCACTTAGCATAAAGCCCTCAAGATCATCCATGTTTTTGGAAATGAAAACAGTTCCTTCTTTTTGGCTGAGTAGTATTCGCATCTGCTTTATTCATCCATCCATCAGTGGACACTTAGGTTGTTTCCTTGTCTTGGCTATTGTGAATAATGCTGCAGTGAACATTGGGGTGCATGTATCTTTTTGAGTTAGTGTTTTTCTTCTCTTTGGATAAATACCCAGAAGTGGAATTGCTGGATTGTACGGTAGTTCTATTTTTAATTTTTTGAGGAAACTTCATACTGTTTTCCATAGTGGCTGCACCAATTTACATCCCACCAACAGTGCATAAGAGTTCCCTTTTCTCTGGGCTTCCGTGGTGGCGCAGTGGTTGAGAGTCCGCCTGCCGATGTAGGGGACACGGGTTCGTGCCCCGGTCCGGGAAGATTCCCACATGCCCCGCGGAGCGGCTGGGCCCGTGAGCCATGGCCGCTGAGCCTGCGCGTCCGGAGCCTGGGCTCCGCAGCGGGAGACACCACAGCAGTGAGAGGCCCGCGTACCGCAAAAAAAAAAAAAAAAGAGTTCCCTTTTCTCCATATCCTCACCAGCACTTGCTATTTCTGTCTTTTTGATGATGGCCATTCTGACAGGCGTGAGGTGATGTCTTATTGTGTTTTGATTTGCAATTCCCTGATGGTTAGTGATCTTGAGCGTATTTTTGTGTAGCTGTTGGCCACCTGTATGTCTTCTTTGGAGAAATGTCTGCTCAGCTCCTCTGCCCATTTTTCATTCAGATTGTTTGGGTTTTTGGCTATTGAATTGTATGGGTTCTTGCTGTATTTCGGGTATCAGCCCCTTACCAGCTATACAGTGTACAAATATTCCTTCCCCTTCAGTAGGTTGCCTTTTCATTTTGTTGACAGTTTCATTTGCTTTGCAGAAGCTTTTTAGTTTCTTTTGTTTGTTTTTGCTGTTGTTGTCTTTGCTTTTGGTGTCAAATCCAAAAAAATCATTGCTGAGACCCATGTTGTCAAGGGGCTTTTCCCCTATGTTTTCTTCTAGGAGTTTTATGGTTTTGAAGGTTTTAGATATGTTTCTCTTTTTATTTGGATTAGTTCGGGCCATGGTTATTTTTTTCCTCCTCTACGTTTAAAACAGATGGTTGTGGTTTTGCCCTTTGAAAGGAAAAGCCCAGTGGCAACTCTGGTTAATAAGCATTTGCTTAAAATAGGAAGAAGAAATGAATTTCTCAGTAAGGCAGAATACAGAGAAGAGTAAATAATGTTCCCAGTCTGTGGCTTCCTTTGTAGAAAAACGCTTTGCCTGGCTTCCCCCGTTGCTCTGAGCCCCAGGCGTTAGGACTCACCTGGTCAGCCTTAAAGAACAGATCATCTCATAGTGACAAAATTCCTCAACAGTCAGATGTTAGCTCCAAAGCGGGCATTACAGTATTTTGATGGGTCCCCAAGCTACTTTTTATAACCCCCACCAGCGGTGGAGCCAGCAGGCTCTGCAGACTAACTGTGAGGTTCGCGGGGGCAGCCCTGACTGTGGCCTTCACGGGCCCCTGTGGCTGTTTGACCCCCTGCACCCTGACTGGGCCTCCTCTCCTGCCTGGGCTCTGCCCTCATTCGCCAGCACCTGCTCTCCAGCCTTCCGGTAATGCGGCCTGGCCAAGCCTGGTGGCAGCGCCCTGCTCCCAACCCTCAGCTCGCTGCACCCAGAGGACTCGACTTTTCACCATCCATCCTCAAACAGGCCTCCTTCCTGTTGGGTCTCTGACAAAGTTACCGAGTAAAGTTGGGCTGTTGCAGAACATCGTGGTGAAAGCCTGGATTAGTAAGTCTTGAAAGCGTCCAAGCAGCCATTGTAAGTGAGAAACGCAATATCCATTCTCCGCATCTTCTTAACTAGGTCGCAGGAGCAGTCGTGCTGGGGTAACAAACACCGAGGACCACTCGGTGGGGTTTTAGCCGGAAAAGCTTCTAAGCGCTTGTAGCGGATTGCGGTGTAAACCAGGGCCGCCTCTTGTCTTCCTGGTCTGCGGGGCTCGTGACGTGGACCCGATGCAGGCCGAGTGACGGTGGAGCAGATGCCCCGCTGGCCGCGCTCGGGGCGCCGTGGGCCGGGGCGGCGGAGGCAGCTGCAGGGCTGCAGCGTATCTGGGCTTCAGAGGAAGAGGCCCGGCAGGAGGGGGACTGTGGGGCTGCTAAGCCCAGAGCTCTCCAGCCCGGGGTGCCTTGGGGGCCAGGGTGAGGGCAGCTGGGCGAAGTGCTTCTCTTCTTGGGAGCCCTACCGCGTGCCTTGGAAGAAAGCCCCTCAGCTGGAGCTCAGGGTGAGAAAGCATGAGTCCGGTGGGCTGGCGTGCTGCCTGGGGGGCAGTTCTGAGGCTTCCCTGCAGGTCGGCGTCTGCTGGGTGGTGGGGCCTCCTATGCGGTTTGTGGCAAAGCTTCTCGGGATGAAAGGAGGCTGTTGCCTTTGCAGCAAGGCTGCTGGAGGGAGAAGTAAATCTTTACTGTTCTCCCCTTGATGCCGGGGAAGCCTGTGGCCTGTACTGGAGGCCGTCCCTTGGGCATCCTTTGGGAGCTTCTGGGTTAACAGGCAGCGGTGGGTCCCGCACAGAGTGTGGTGGGGAGAGCGGGTGAGCATCTAGCACAGAGTTACGGGTGAAGCCCGGTGGGGACTGTGGAATCAGGAGGGATCTCGGGACAGCCCGGCGGGGCGCTGCGGAGAGGGAGCTGCACTGAGGTTCTCTGGCCATCTCGCGGGTGCTGGCCTGCTCACTGGAGGCTGACTGCTGAGGGGTGTCCTCAGTCCAGCGTCCCCCCACCTCCCAACAGGCACCTCGCCCCTTTTCAGAAAGTCCGCCGGCTCTGCTTCTGTCTGTTGCAGCTTCTCCGCTTGGAGCATGTGGAGCCTTGTCCCCTGATGCACAGACCCCAGTGGAGCCTGGGGCACTCGCCCTTCCGGGTCCGCTCCACGCTGGCCGTGGACTCTCAGATGGGCGAACGTGAGGGCCATCCAGGGCCGGGGTCCGGGCTAGGAGGAGGACACTGCTGTCATCCCCTCCCTGCTACTCGCGTGTGTCTGTGTGTAGCTGTATGTGTGTGTCTGCGTGTATGTGCATGTGTGTGTCTGCATGTATGTTCACGTGTGTTTGTGTGTCTCCCCCATTGCACACTCAGACTTACACTGCCCGCAGCTTCCTTTGGAGTCTCAGACCCATGGGTACTGGCTGGGGTCCGTCTCAGTTGGGAAAACCCCACTTTCCTTTGTGTTGAGCCACATGCCTCGGGCGCCCCAGCAGGTGGACGAGCAGTCACTCACTGACCTGCAGGAAGAGCCCAACTCTCTTTATCCACAGAAGTGTCACTTCGGTGTTTTCTTCTGTGTTCAGTGTGATGCGGCAGATCCCTTCTCTTCTGGATCAAGAGCCCTTTTTCCTTTCAGCGATCTTCCAGGACTGAACGTGCGTGCCGCAGGGCCTGGAGAGGGTTAACGCAGAGATGGACCAGGGCCGGAGCGGGGGTGGACACGGTGCGGGGAGGAACTCCGAGCTGGAGGGGAGGGGCCCAGGCCACGGCATGGGAGGTGGGGAATAACTCAGGGACCAGGGAGGGGGCTCAGCCAGGTGGGGACATGCCCTGCAGGGTCCCGTACCTTGGATGTGACTGGGGACCGGGGCTCAGCTACCTCCTGACCACTGCTAGTGGTGAGCCTCACACTGCCCTGGGACCCGGGTGGGGTCACTGTCACCTCTGGGGAGTGCGGAAAGCCTCAGCCTGTGGCCAGCAGCAGGACAAGTTGGGCTTCGGCACACCAGCTTCAGGTCTGGTTCCTCTGTCACCATCCCCTGTGTGTAATGAGCCCCACGGAGGCGGT